TTGCTGCAGTTGCCATATCCGTTCGTATCCCTGATGTCCTTCCTCTTTTTCGCTGCCCCTCCATTTTACCAAGCATGATGGCCTTTTCAAACAACTGGTTTCTCTGACAATATGTCCAAAGTATTTAAGACAAAGTCTTGCCATCCTTTTCTCTAAGGAGCACCCCAGCTGTACTTCTTCTAAGACAGATCTGGTTGTCCTTTTAGCACTCCATGGCACGTTCATTGTTCTTATCCAGCACCACAGTTTAAATGCATGGATTCTTCTTCGGGCTTCTTTATTCAGTGTCTAACTTTCACTTGCATTTGAGGCAATTGAAAATACCATGGCTTGGATCAGATACAACTTAATCCTTAAAGTAACATCATTGCCTTTCAATACTATAAAGACATCTTGTGCAACAGATTTACCTAATGCAATGAGTATTTGATCTCTTGACTTCTGCTTCCATGTGCATTGATTGTAGATCCAAGAAAGACAAAATGCTTGTAAACTTCAAACTCCTCTCCATTGATCATGATGTTACTTATTGGTCTAGTTGTGAGGATTTTGGTCTTTATATTGAGTCATAAGCTTACTAAAAGCTGCATTACTTGATCTTTCACAAGTGCTTCAAGTCCTCCTCACTTTTAGCAAGCAAGATTATGTTGTTACTAAGCCTTCCTACAATCCTGATGCTACATTCTTCATTTCATTACAACTCTGAAATTTAATTTCAGGCACCATGGTGTTAAAGTATGTCAGTATATAAAGTCCCTTGCTAGGTAACATAAGGTCCAAAACTCAGGATCTGAGCTGAGCTGCGAAGAGGAAACTGGGATTTCAGAGTATAGGCCAAAGTGTGTCCCCTATAAAAACTAAAGCCAGATCTTCCTAAGAGGCTTCTATATTTAGGAATTAGATAATAATTTAGACTCTAACTATATTAAACATTCTGATATTGATGGTCTGAGGTCACAGCAGGGCAGAGACCAGGGGTGGCTTCAAATCTACCCTTCAGTTGGAAGAACCTATTCCTACAGAGACATTTGGAATGGGTAGAGCTTGTCTTTTGTGCAGAGAGAATTGCTAAAGGTGCTGAAACTTATACACTTTAAATTATGAATTGTACATTAAATATCTGTCATTGGTTTTATTGATGTTTTAGATGGTTGGTGGAATCTGGGACAGATCTCAAACAAGATCTTTCTTGGCACCAGCAAAACCAATTAACTTGTAAGTTTTGTTACCCAATATTATCATTGATATATTTTTTACCATTATTTATAATTAAGTCTCAAATACTCTAACACATGGGACAGAGACGGGTAAGGGGCATATTCTCTGCTGGAGGGCACTCCAGAGACCTTGGACTTCTATTACTGTGTCTTGAAAAATGGCTCAAATCCCATTACTTAGTGCAGACAGCTTTCTTTCATTTCCCCTTAATCCTCTTAAAATTTACACCATCAAATGTACCACAAATACTTTGAAATGGGAAGTGCTTTATAAAGAATTTGATGTGAGGAGTTATATAATTAAGTTCATATAAAAAGAACTCAGAGCTCTTTTCTATGAACTATTGTATCTTTGGAAATGTCACTATTTGTTACTACTTTTTTTATTCTTACCACAATCTACAAGCCAGATCATCATCTCTGGTTTTATATATATATATATATTGAATAATATTAAATATATATATGAATAATAAATTATATAATTTTAAAATGGGACATTACCAACAAAGTGGAAATCCCACCTGAACTTTTCTCAAGCGCAGCAGCATTTCTCAGGATCATTGCTATTCTGGATTTTACATTTGGTATTTTTGTGAGTTTATTTAATCCTTGAAAACATATGTGCATTGCTAATCAATATATGTATTGTGTTCATGTCTCTAAACTCAATATAAGTGGTATCATACCTAGACTACATGATTATGTAATTTTTCCTGTATTGTTTTTGCAAAAGCCATATAGGTTGACATCTGTATTTGTATGTGTTCATTATCTATGATTTATAGTCTAGATACATTGCAATTCATTCAATTTTATTGTTCATTCATTGATATGATTTTTGTGGTGATTAGAAACAATACTCCCATATTACATGCAGCCAAGTGTGAAGTTTTTATAAATACAGATTTATGTCTAGAATTGTTAAGTCAAGAGATATATCCTTCTCTACATTCTTGCTATTGCTACATTCTTCTACAAATGATTGGTAACAACAGTTTATCTCATCACTTT